GACGAGGGTCCTGGACCGGAAATTATTCGGCCGAGACGGCAGGGCCATGTCGAAGGCGGCGGGAGGCCTAAATCGGGTGGGCATGATAGGATGAAGAGAAATGGCGGGTCGGATATCGGGATATTGGGTCGACCCGGATCGAGTGGAAGTCGGCCAAATTCTAGTGGATGGTATGTATTCTTCAAAATTAATATATTTATGGGTTATGAATTGTTTAACTTATCTCCTCCGGCCAGTAAAATAATTAAATGTGTATTATTTTTTTTAGTTTTAGAAATAGTTTTGTAAAAAATGATTAAATGATACAGATGTTACGATTTTAGTGGTCGGAGGAGATAAATTATCTACTTATACGAGAGGAGATACATTATTCTCATTTTCCAAACATGCATGTCATTAAGATTTGTGATTATTCTTGGGTTGTCCTTTCTTGAATTTTAATGCAGCGTGATTGTGATAGGTTGCACCAACACATGTGGCAATACGCAATCTTAAATCATAAATTCAAATTTTATGATTAATTGTTATGTGAATTATGATTGGGCTATTAGTTTGGTTGAGGAAAGTATAAATCATTATTCATAAGATAAGTACTCCATTGAAGTATAAATCATAACTACAAACCAATTGGTTGTTGTGTAAGGTTGCGAATTGGGTTTTGGAGGGGAAGAAAGTGAAATGGAAGGCTTTAAAACCATAACAATAGTGTATTTCGTGGCTCTGAAACTTTTTTCATTTCCCTTCATTCTCCTCCAAAACTCAAAGGTTGTTTGCGACTTGGTTTTTTAGAGGGGAAATAAGAGAAACGGCTTGAAAGTCATCTCACAAATGTATTTCATAGCTTCGAGCTTTTCCCTTCCCTCCATTGCCCTCTAACCTCCAAGTAAACCAACTCGCTAATAGACCCTAATCAATCTCACATATTCGATTTTTCGGGTTAAAAAGTAGGAACCGTGAGAGCTGTTTTATTAATGACTCTTCTCGGCTTGACTTGGATTAATACGAGTCCAAAGTAATCTATGGATGCCAATGATATTATGATTGTCAATATGCCACGTTCAACTTTTCATTTTTCTGTATACCAAATATGTGCATGAAATTAGTTTTTTCCTCGTCAAATTTTGTCTGTTATCGTAAAATAAAAGTGATTATACTTGCAATGTGCATGACTAAGAAAAAATGTCTCTTTAAATGTGCAGAACGATTATGATTTTGACTTCTTTCCTGGGGGATGAAGATCTATGCATTTTGCCAAAGAAATGAGTTCTCTATGCCAATACACAGCATGATGCATCCTTTATCACCCTGGAACTGGCATCAATTTTCATATGATGGCATCTGAAAATCATAGAACAGGAAACCTGACCAACCAAGGTGACTGCTTTTCAATACCTAACGTCGGAATTTGTAATGAAATTTTTTGTTAGTGTTTTAAAATCGTGAGTTCTTCTGTTAGTGTTTGCCCCTCTTTTACTACGTGCCAATAGAGTGTAGAATCAACATATATGTATTTGTATTCCCAGCTAAACTATTTTTCACTCTTCTGAAGTTGTTGTTTGGAAGGTGATCTAATCATTTTCACTTTAAGTTATATTTTGCTTGTCACAATTTGTCTGTTACTTCAGCCAAGTTTCATTCATTTGTTAGACACTGGCTTGGCTTTTTCAGTGCCTAGAATTGCTAAACTGTTCCATTGTCTGCCATTTTGATTGCTTTCGAGTTTCAACTGGTTTTGTCTTCCCGCTATCTTCATAATCAATAATCAACAATTGATGTAATAGAATTACTTTACACTCTACAGTCATTCATAAATTCTCCGGGAGTAATGATTTTCTTCGATAAATAAAAAATATATTAACAAGAGCACAAGGGAAGCAATGATTTGATTAACATGTACTGCTATGTGGAGGGTTTGTGGTGGTGGGCGAATAGAGCAGAGTCGCGTTGGGTTGTTTTTGGGCATGGATGGTGATGGTTCCGAGCGGTGATCATAGAAGTGCATGTTGATGGGTGGTGGTTATGGTGAATGGTAGTCATTCTAGTTTTGGTGGTGATGTTGATAGTGAATGGGGACACATATATGTATTTTTTGGGATGGAGATGGAAAGAGTTGTAGGTAGAGGAGAGTGGTGGTGAACCGGTGATGGTGGCAAATGACAATAGTTGTGGCCATTGGTAAAATGCATGTTGGTAAGGACATCTAAAAATGATGGTTACTTTGGAATCATGTTGGTAACAGAGGAAGAATTTAATAGCGGGGTAGCGCCGATGTTGGTGGTGATTGCAAATAAGGGTGGTTCCGGTGGCCATTGTAGGTAATATTGAGCATTATGTTGGCAACTACAACTAAAAATGTTGATATTTTTGTAATGAGTTAGTAATAGAAAAATGGGCTATTAAGGTTTTGGTTGTTCAAATAACAATGAAGAAATGGGGATTCATCTCACGTGAAGAAGTCAAGTACAAATTTCTGGTTTAAGTATATACTTACCTAATTCCTATTTGCCCTTACTTCTTAATCACCCTTATTGGAAAGTCATACATAACAAACCTTAAAAAATAAGTGTTAAGACCTTTCTTTTATCTTCAAATTTTCAAACTATGAGCAACATCCACTCTCTTTAACCACTGAGACATTATCTCCACAGCCAACAATAACTTTCTGACCCTTGGCCAATGCTGAAGGATCCTCCCTAACATCAAGAGCTTTCCTACTAACAACATGGTATATATGAGTGAGCACTTCTGTGAAAGCATTGTCCACATTCAAGGACTCAAGTGCTGAGGTTTCAATAAAATATGTGTTCTCCCTCTCGGCTAATGTCGCGGCTTCATCGGTTGCCACAGCACGCAATCGACGAAGATCTGCCTTGTTTCCAACCAGCATGATTACAGTGTTTGAATCTGTGTGATACCGAAGCTCGTTTAACCATCTCTCCACATTTTCAAAGGTTATGTGTTTGCTAACATCGTACACAAGCAATGCACCAGCAGCTCCTCGATAATAAGCACTTGTTATTGCACGATATCTGTGGTGAAAAACAAAAATGAGATTGTTAAAATATAAAATTTTGGAGTGAGTATATAATGAATGTATTCTCTTTTGTTATTGTGAATGTTGTAATTGTAACTTTGTTTGGCATAGGATCCTCTCCCATACGAGGTCAATATAATTTTGGTAACTTTTAAATTAAAAATAATTTAAAATTTAGATCATTAATTTTTTTTGCTATGACACATGTTATGATTTTCACCTAGTATTAGACCCTACATTAGTGGACATAATTTACATTCATTTTGTACATGATTATTTTCTATGCTTCATTCGAACAAGAATTAAAAAGTTCTTGTTTCTCATTTAAGCATTTTTTGTAATAAATTTTTAAGCATGTATTTTATTATGTTGTTGCTGTTTTACTTTTCTTGAATTAAGACCCCACCAATAACTTCATGGCAGGATGATCAGAACTAATATATTTTCTCTAGCCATAAATATTCATTTGTAATTTAAGTTTTTCAACAGAATGTTTTCTTTTATCTTAAGCCCAAATTTGGTCATTGTTTAAAGAGAAGCAGATATATCATATATATGATGTTACTACCCATCAATTGGTGATTAAGTTGTTCTTCCAAAAGGAAACGAATTGTGCTAATTAAGTAGAAGAGGCAAAACACAAAATCCTACTAACAAAACCATGATAAAAATAGCATTAATTGAATAATTTATTACTTGGGTACATTAAAAAGAATGAACAAGTTGAGTTCTAGAGGAGAAGAAATGACCTTTCTTGTCCGGCAGTATCCCATATTTGAGCCTTGATAATCTTGTGATCAATTTGAATAGTGCGGGTGGCGAACTCAACCCCAATGGTGGACCTTGTTTCGGAACTGAACTCGTTTCTGGTGAATCGAGACAAGAGGTTTGACTTGCCGACACCGGAGTCTCCAACCAGCACCACCTTGAACAAGTAGTCATAGTCCTCGCCCATTTAATGACTCAACCTAAAATTCAATGAAACTCAATTGTTGGTTTTAAAAGTGTTTTTATTAGGCTTTCAGTTTCTGGGTTTAAAGCTAGTAATAATAAGATAAAAAAAGAAGGTAAATGGCGTATAAGGGGAAGGAAGCTAGGCGTCTGTTGGCGGGTGCAAGAGGGAGAAGCATTCAAACTTTAAACCTCATGTCATGCTCATCTCTTTCTCTTCTTTCCATCCTAATTCATATTTCAAATCAATTATAACGAAGAAAAAATAATGAACATTTAATTTTTAATTGACATATAATTTGTTTTATTAATTTTATATAGTATTTGAGTTATACTTTAAAATAACATATAAGAAAGGGATATGTTTTACTCCATTATAGTGCATAGCGTTTTTATTATGTGCCATTTGGCATTTGTTATCTAATGAGGAATTATTATTTTTCATCACAAAATGTTTTAAACTAAATGAAAATAATTAGTGATATAATGAAAGTATAAAAAATACAACAATGTATGATAGAGTTTTCTCCCTTGAATAATAGGGAGTAAAAAAAGAGTAAAAATACATGTGAATAATAATAGAATTTTAACATATACACTAATAGAATAAAAAAACATTTTCAGTACATATATTATTTATCATTCATATGTTATTTATTATTAAAGTTTAAATAAAATATATGCATAGAGTACAAGTAGATTTGCTTATTTCTTTAGTTTTCTCCCGGTGAAGATCAAGAGTCACTTTGCTAAAATTATTGATAAAATAAAGATTAGAGGGCAAAGAGAATTTTTAAAAATGAGAAAGGGTAAGCCTCCAAAAAGGTTGATCTTTATTTTCTTTTTACTAAGTTGTGTATGCTAATAAAGAAGATTTTTTTGGTGCCAACTCAGGTTAGTTTAATCACTCAAGTAGTTTGAAGTTTAATTATGCTATTTATAAGCTCATAATTGTAATATTTCCCAACTAAAAATACTCCAAATTATGAAATTCAAATATTTGAGAGTTATTAAATACGCGCCAGGTAGGGGTCGAACCTACGACTTTCTGCTTAGGAAACAGACGCTCTATCCACTGAGCTACAGGCGCTTATTTGTTCGTACTAATATATATTAGTATTTTATGAGATTTCAGAATTCTTGTCCAAGTGTTTTTTACTTCAACTAAATTGCTAATGTCACCGCTAAGATAGTGCATTAGTACATAGCTATTAGCTAATATCCAATTAAGAATTTCTCCGTTTTGTTTTGCAACTAAATTCAACACTTACAAGGTGCTATGTATATAACACAAATCCCTTTAACTATAAAAATTATGATACCAATCTTAACTATAACATAGAGAATAATTCCTAAAAATTTGTTTACTTTGAGTTTTGGATGGGGAGTAAGATAAAGAGAAGATTCCAAAACTACGAAATACACTTGTAAAATAATTCTAAAGTTTATTTCTATTCATTTTGCTCGAAAACCAAACTTCAAATAAATACTAACTAAAAATTAAAAAAGATGTAGAGCAATATAAAAGAGATGAATAACTAAAAATTAAAGAAGATGTAGAGCAATATAAAAGAGATGACTAATGGTATCATACTTCTCTTACAACAAAAAATATCTTGAATTGAGTATAGTCTTGTATCCAGCAGAGACATTGGAATATCACTTAGGCTCCACCAACAACAACAAAAAATAGAAAAAAAGTAAAGAATTTGAAGTACATATGTTCAAAAGGATTCGTGCAAATGAACAATCAAATAAAGAAAGAAAAAAAAATCTTATGATGAAGAATGATTCAAATGTTACAGGATGAGAATCAATCATAAACACCAATTAGAGGAAAAAGCATGATTTGGTCTTCTTTCGTTTTTTCTTTGGCTTAGGTGGCTGCAAAACAACCTTGATTGCAGCATCGAACACTGCCTTCACATTCTGAAATTTTTGCAACAAATATTAACAATTAAGCTGAGGCAGAAAGATATTTAGTTAGGTGTTATAATCTAAAGTGGCTAATCTTGTATTTATAATTGGCACTACTCCATTATTAAAATCTCTTTAGCACCTTAATTTCTCTAAAGGACTCTTCTACTGCAACTGGCTTTAGACAAATATAAAAGCTTGTTTGGCACAATATTGGCGATGTGTTAACCGCTGCAACTGTATCATACTGCAATTATGGTGTGACATTGTATCATAATGATGCAGTCACATCGGGCTACAATGCAACTGTATTTGGATTGTATCAGATCGCATCGGATTCAAAAATATTTTTATAATCACAAAATAGTTTATACTACAAGGGCCGTAAACAATAACCACAATTACAAATACTGCACTATACTATAAGCAATACAATTAAAAATATCAGAACCTGTTGAGTCTTTGAGCTGCACTCTAGGTATACTGCAGCACCAATTGCCTTCTTCAGATCTTCTCCCTGCCAAGATTTTGTAGGACTTAGGTGTATATCAAATCAAAATGAGAATAAAGTATCTCCTTATATCAGGAGATAACTTATCTCCTCCGGCCACTAAAAGAATAACATGTGTATTGTTTTATTTAATTTTAGAAATATTTTCGTAGAATATGATTAAATGGTATACTTATCAGGATTTTAGTGGCGGGAATGAATAACTTATCTCCTTATATCAGGTGATACATTATTCTCGATCGAAATATAACAAATTTTTATGGCTTCAACAAGAATACAACATTTGTTAGAAAGTGAATTTGGGACTTGCCTGGGAAGTAGTGATAGGTGTTGCTCCAGGATGATCAATCAAATATTGTCTGTCTTGGCGCAAATCTGATACAATTATAATGAAGATTCCTTAACTATTAAAGACACTACAGATAAATTTGTATCTTAAGTGAACCAAAATTTCAAGTAGTTTTTAGTGTTTTAGCTGATACCAAGTTTGGTTCCCACAAGTACTATTGGCACACTTGGGGCATAATGTCTCAGTTCAGGAATCCACTGCATAAAATTGACCTATTGTCAGATTCTATATCATAGATTAATATAAGATGTTATGTTATTTTTATAATATATAATGTAAATGTATCTTGATAGAGAGGGAGATATAGGATATTTTCAGAACCTTTTTAGAGATATTTTCATAGCTGGCTCTGCTGAGGAGGGAAAATGCCAGCAAGAACACATCTGCACCTCTATAACTCAAAGGCCTAAGCCTGTTATAATCTTCTTGTCCTGATTTCATTCAGATACAATATATGGGTCAAGTATGGATTACGGAATAACAATATAATACTAACTCTGAGTAACACCAACCCGACTCAGTGGGATAAAGGCTTGGTTGTTGTTGTCCGAACTCTGAGTCGAGAGTTAAATTTCAAGATTATCCAGTTCTAGTGACAGAAGCCTTATTTTCACTTCTATGCTAATTACAAAAAAGTGGATGCCTCAAAGGATAGCATAGAAACTTGTATAAAAAAGACTTACCAGCAGTGTCCCATAATCCTAGGTTAACTATGCTACCATCAACCACCACATTTGCACTGAAGTTGTCAAAAACTGTAGGAACATAATCCTGTGATTTTACAGTGAGAAAAAAGTGATTTTTTTAAAGCCAAACACAAAATAAATGTACAAGCTCAATAAATTTAAACATCATTTGTTGTCACATACTGTGGGGAATGTGTTGCTGGTGTAAGAAATGAGCATACAAGTTTTTCCAACAGCTCCATCTCCAACAGTAACACACTTAATGAATCTTGCTGTGCTCATTTTAAATCTCCTTAGCTGATCTCCTCAACTCAAAGTAAATCTTTCTCTACCTTTTTATTGCTTCCATAACCTGAACCCTTTATATTTCTTTAACTTGAAAATTTGGAACTAAAAGTAGAACAATGGAAAGAAGAAGTAATAATGTTTAAAAAGAAGGCCACAAGGGTGTGAAATTGAATTTTGAATAGAAATGGAGGGGTGAGAGTAGCATTTAATAAGTTTAAGTTCTCATATCACCAACTTTAGTGTGTCTCTTTTAACTTGATCATTATTGCATTTGGCTTTCTGTTTCTTTAAGGGGAAGGACAGATTTTTTGATCAACAAAGGAGTTGTTTGGTGTTGTAGTGGTGTTAGTTGGTTAAGTATTGTACAAGGGAGAGATAGTGAATAATGAGTGTTTAGAATATAAACATTGCTTTGGTAATGGTTTCTCATAAAATAATGTATCAAATGAGAATCTTTAATTACATGAGGGGAAAAATTAAATTTTATGGTAAAAATTAGTGTCATACAACCAGAAAATATAAATATTGGATCAAGTGGAAGTGGGTGGATGAATTTGCACTAAGTTCATGGGAAATATATTGATTTTCAAGTCACCATTTCCAAGTTCCCGACCTTAGTGGATCAATTTTCATCTTTGTTGGGGTTAGTGTTATTGAAGACCCACTAATGTATTTTCATTTTTATGGGTAAAGCAATCTTTTTGGCATATAATAATATTGGTATGTTTATTGATGATTTGTGACACACTACAATATTTATTGAGTACCAACAATATTTAGTACCAGCTATAATTTCAGTAATTTATAAGCAACTAGAACTCTTAATTTGTCTTTTAATTTTTAGTCTCTTTTTCCCTGGCTCTTGAAGTTAATGTTTTTTTCTCACTTCTTTTGTTTCATCACGTTTGACCAGCTCATATAAAGTTGGCTTTTATTATGTTGAATGTATCATCATTATATGAATGATGGGTTGTCTTAAGCGAGACAACAACTCCAATAATATATGGCTCTATAATGATGATTTAAGATGTAAAGGTATAGTTCAATCCATATTGCTAGTTAACTATTATTCTTTTAAATATGTCTCATGACATAAACTAAAATCAAATCTTCTCAACAAAAAAAATATATAATTCACGTCCCAAGTATGGTTAAAAGGAAGCAATATGTTGGTAGAAATAAGAGTGGAAATAAGTCAAATCGCCTATCAGATGCCTATTATATGGCCTATAATATGTCAGATCAGACCATACTGTTTTAGTAAACAGGTCAGGTTCAGGCTTCTTCAAAAACCTATTTAACCGAAATAGGCCAGACTCAAGCATTTTAAAAAGCCTATTAAATCTAACAGGCCGACCTATATAATGTTATAATATATTTATAAATTATTTTTATAATATGTACAAAAAAACTAAATAAAAAAAATTATGTAAATAATCCACTATGACTTAGAGATTATGCTATTTAATAATTGAATATTTAATTGTTGAGACTTGAACTTAAGTACATAACTCAACTCATGTTAAATATTAGAACAATATCATATCTTACTATAATATTAAACTACATTATTTTGTATATTTTAATCTCAAATGAACCACAAATCATTCGAATACATTACTCAACATTAGAAGGTGATGAAAATAATTGTGATAACAATGTAAAAACATTCACACTAATTGCTATAATTATAATAATTTTTTCTAGTTTGTACATAATTTTTTAATTTTTTTACCTTAGCAAGCCTTTAAACATGCTAACAGGTCAAACCAGACTTTTAAACAGATCAGATCTAGGCTTTGAATTTTTTTTAAACAGTCTAACAGGCCAGGCTCAGGCCCAGACTCCTATATAGGTTCGGCTTGTTTAAGGCAAAGTCTGGTCTAACATGTTTCCACCTCTAAGCGGAAGCGGTCGTTGCGCAACGTTAGTCACAAGCAATCAAATAATGCATAGAATAAATAGAAGAGAAGAAACAAAGAATTTGGTAACGGGGTTCGACTAATTGTGCATACATCACCAGGAGCGCTGAGTGACTACCAAGATATTATTAGAGAATAAGGATTACAAGCCCTATCACACCCATGTGCCCAAGTGCCCATGAGATGTTTCTATTTGATACTTATATCTAGTGTTTATATTTGGTGCACATTACAACAAGGACCTGAGTCCAACATATAATATTAGTTACTCTACTCTATTCTAATACTAGATGATGTGAGACTATTGTAATAATATATTTCAAGCCTCCACAACACAATACACAAATTCTTTAAATATGAGTTACCATTGAGTGTTATCCTATGAGTCACAAGTTGATGAAGTTTTTCTATGTTAAAATTTTTTGGTGTCATTATTTGACTAATCT